TCTGTGTCTGTGTATCATCATCAAGGCTTTCCTCGGGTTTCTGCTTGCTTAAGCTGAACATGCAGGAGATCACAGAGGAGGAGGAGGGAAGCTGATTAAGGGAAACAACAAGAGAAAATGTGTAATTAATTTCGACTGTAAAATATAACCTTTTCTTAATCAATATGTTGATTCAAAAGCAAAGTGTTAGAGAGATCGAGATGATCAGTTACCTGAAATTTTCCTTTAGACTTACTCATCTCAGACAATTTCCCTTTGTGTCCGGCGACCGCCAATCTGAGCTTCCCTGAAGGTCAATTGAGTTAATATTATTGCCTTTAGTTAATTTGTAGACCAACTCTGAAGATAAAATAATATAAGAAAAGAAGACTACTTCCATCCGCACGTTAAGCCTTTAATATATCGCCAAAAAAAAGAAGATATGCAATTCATTTTGATTATTATGTATCAACTTCATTTCATTACAATCTGTACATGTTTCGTGTTCCATTAAGTATTAGCTAGTCTTTGACTTGAGAGATGCTCATGACGAATGTGAGTGACATAAGCCTAGAGGAAAAGAGGCAAATGCTATATAACTTGCAATAAACATATATTTGCTTTGCCTTTCACAGTGCCAGAGTCTCCACTTATTAGTAATTAAATTTTAGGACGACTTATTAGTCTTTGTTTAAAGAACTCCTATGATGACCAAACTTTTTTTTTTCTTTTTTCTTTTTCCCAACATGTATGTCAGTGTCACTCCTCCATTAAGTATTAATTAGTCTTAGTCTTTTTTATCATATGGAATTTCCCCTAAAGATGCTCAGACGAATGTAAGTGACTGTGACTACAGGAGGCAAAGGTAGATAGATCAACTTGCAATATACATATTTGCTTTGCCTTTCACATTGCCAGAGTCTCCACTTATTTAATTTATAGGGCGACTTAGTCTTTACTTAAATGTATAATTTATCTGATTCATATTTAACTGTCTCTCTCTTCTGTTTTGGTGCTTATTACAGTGTAAGGCTTCCCAGAGAGGCCTTTTACATCACTTTGGAAAAGGAGTGAAAATCAAAATGTTCAAGGAAAGGGAGGGAGGTAGGTGCAATTTTAAAATCCGGCTTCAAAACAAGTTAGAAGTAGCCCGGAATTTGAATCTGTGTGATGGTAAAAAAACTTGCTCTAAATCTTGCTAACCGTAGAAACGAAAGTAAACTGATGAAGTTCTGTTTCACATTTTTGGATATGCATATAGCAAATTATTAAGTAGATTTTTGTTTTTTGTTTTTAACAAACAGAATTTAATTGTACTCCTCTGCCTAAAGCTAAATCCCAATATAAAAAAAATGGAAGTAAGCCACAGCTCATAATAATTTATTTGTACACCAACCATGCATTTGTTTGTATGCAACTGAGATTCTGACCCCGACGAGGCAGGAGGGAACATTCACAGCTGTATTATTTTTCATTTTGTAATAAATCTCCTTAGCTCATAAAGCAAATTAATCTAATTTCCACGAGCCATAATGTAGACCTCTATGTGTTGTCCCAGGAACGGAGCGAGAATTGTAAAGTTGGGGGAGTCAAAATAGAAAATAAAAGTATATCAAACACCTCAAGAGAGTTACATGAGCCAAATTTCATCCAAAAAAAATATGTTAAAGCTAACTATTTCTAATTTATTCATGTCTAATTTGTTTTAGAGGGAATTTTAGCTTAAAGTATCAGTTGTTTATTACTATTTCTATATGTTACTGGGGGCTAGTGCCACTCCTAGTCTAGAAATGGAGAAAAACTTAGTTGCAACTGAGATAACACTATTTTGCTATCCTCAGCCAATAATGTTATGTCATGTGAAAGTGTTATCATGTATGTCATAGCGTTATTGGTCGAAAATAACAAAGTAGTGCTATCTCTATTTCATGGAAATCTTTCTCGAGTGGAGAAAGCCACTGGCTGTCCCTTTAGGAAGTTGGTTCACGTGCTCTTCACATATTGCTGAGTTGTTAAATCTCTAGTTGAGTTGAGAGTATAAATATAGATGTAGTGTTCATTACAAAATAGCATAAATAAATTATTTGTTGATGTGTGATGCTTAACCGGTTAAATAATTAGAATGGTCATTATGAACAAGGGCAAATACACAACTTTTAAGTGTAGATGCTCGAGATTTCTAAATTCATTTTTGTGATACAACTTGTAAGAATGCAATATTTAATTTATATTATTTTAATTTCAATTTACTATAATGTAATGTTATCTGTTTCATGATGTATTGAGATAAGATGATTTCTTTTAAGTGTTTTCTATGCCGGTGTATAAGAAAAGAAAAATATTCACGACAATGTGCGTGCGTGGCATAAGCTTACAGGCAAAGAACAATTCAACTTTCCAATAACAATATTTTCTACTTCCTTCACAACGGCAGAGCCTCCAAGTAGTTATTTATTTTATAGGACGACCTGGAAAATTGAATCTGCCAATTCGAAGCATTATTGACTTGCACATACACATCTCCTACAATCGTGATTTTGGGCGCACCAAGCATTTTATTATACAACCGTCCCAGTAAACATTTCACATAGTTTTTATCTAACGCACAACTTGTAATCACTTACACACATACATCCAATTGGAGAGTAGGGATAATCCCCGTCCAACCAATCATATAATTGACTGCGATATATTTTAGTACCAAATTATTAAGTAGATTTTTTTATTTTTTACAACAGAAGGTATTCAAAACAACATAATTCATCCACAATAAATTTATGACATAATGAAGTATTGAACTCACCACAAATATGTATTCATGTGCAACTAACATGAGATCTTCTCCAATCAAATGGAGGAGACAACTACCAATATAGTTAATTCAGTGAAAAAAAAACAAAACAAAACAAAAATTGTCCTTCGCAAATTGGAGACTTTTCTAATTATTTGGCGTGTGTGAATATATATTGAGGGATTCCTCAAATAATCTTATTTGAGCAACACTTTGTGGGGCCTATTAAAAAATTATTTCAACTATCCGGATCGTTTATTTTTCTAGTCTTCATTCATAGATCATCCTTGCAAAAATATTCAACAAATCAGAAACCGTTAAGACATCTAGTTGTGGCCAACAAAATCGACAAACACAGTGCTTAAGAAAACACTAATTAAAATAACAATTATTAAATTGAGTGGTCAAATGGATTCGGATTCAAGTGATTTTTTTTATATATAATCTTTGAAGCAATACTTAAAAAAAGATATAGTTCGGAACATTGAACATAAGATGTCTTATTTGAGGGAGTCTGTATGTGTGTATATATGACTTGGTAAAGTTAAGTTTACATTCCTCTAGTAAAGAAAATGATTATAACAAAGTCCACACAGAAAAATTAAATAATCAATATATATATATATATATATATATATATATAAAGGATAGATGGAGA